GTGGAAAGGACACCGCACGGGTTTAGAACACATGCCCAGCTGGGAGAGACATGCTTGCAGCACAGAGACTCTGAGCAAACCACTCCAGAAGCCCCCCCACCCCCGCAATAGTATCCCTGATAACGAGCGAGAAGCAGGAAATACAAAGCACGTAGGTAACTCATAGAAGAAGCGCATATAACCCATAAGGACTTGTAAGAAACATCCTCAGGAATCTAAGACCTTTTTTGACCTGGCAAATTAATAATAGGTGTAATAGTGACCAGAGCGGGCAGCGACGTGGAAAATGGACTCCGTCATACACCGTTGGTGGAAGCATCAATTAGTGTGTCTTCTTGGAGGAGAGCTTGGTGACGCTTAGCAACATGAAAGTGTACACGCTCACTGCCAGAGTGACAATGCACAGCACACACAAACTCCCAGGGAGCGAGGTACGCACACGCCCCCCCCACCCCAGAGAGCCTCACAGCGGCACAGCAGCTAGATGAGTCCCGCCTGGCGCAGCCCAGCAGCACTGGAATTCCAGCGGCCACTGAGCAACAATGCTCCAAACATGGACAGAGGATGAGATTTGGGGCCTCCCCGGCGGTGCACAGGGTTACTGGTCAGCACTGGGAAGCTGCCAGCAGCCACTGCAGCACGAGTTCGATCCCCGGCCAGGGAGGGACCCACATGGCGCAGCAGACACCTCCTGTCTCCCCGCTGCTCCCCTGAGCAGTGTGTTTCCGCTGGTTCTGCTCCCCACTCTGTCTCCGGTGAATCCTCTCATCCCTAACACCTCTGGTCTGTACCTGGGTTCTTGTGTGCATAAGTAAATGATTTTTTAAAAATATTTATTTATTTGTGCATACAGAACTGGGGTACAAGCCAGAGGCTCAGGGGCAGTGAGAGGATTCACCAGAGACAGAGTGGGGAGCAGAACAGGCAGATCCACGAAGTACACTGCTGAGGGGAGCAGCGGGCGGGTCAGGAGAGGTCTGCCGTGCCATGTGGTCACCTCCGGGGCAGGCGGGAATCGAACTCATGCGGAAGTGGCTTTAGCTTCTCAGTGCTGTGCTTCAACTCGCTGCGCCACCAGGGAGGGCCGATTTTTTAAAGAAAACAAAAACAAGAAGATCTCTAGAGGAGGATGGCCTTTGCAGATGACCGCCAGGGATGGGAGCTGGAGCCGAGTGGGGATGCCAGTGACCACCACGTTCACCCCAGGCCTGCTGCTTCCTGCACCCCCACCTGCCCCGCCCAGCCTCAGGCTCCACACAAGTGTCACTGCCTCACAGGAACGGCAGGGACGTGGGAGGGGACCCAGGTCTCGTCTCACAGGTGCTGCAGTTAATTTCTGAGGCAAAAGGCCTGAGCACCGGCAGGCAGGCGGCTCTTTCGGGTGAAGGTGGAACCTGGAAACCCGTGTGTCTAGGGGAAAAGCCTGGGAGGGGTACGCCACACCGTTACTGGTGGTGACAGGGCTGGGGCACAGTGGGTGCAGCAGGGACGCTCGCTGGTCATTTCTCCCCCTCTACCCAGACTGCGCATTTCACTGACTGCTCACCACCTTTGTCATTAAAAACAGGCCACTCAGGAGTTATGAGCAGGACAAAAACCAAGTGGTTGGGGACAGCACAGGGTGGAGTCTCTGTGCGAGGACAGAGACTGCCAAGAGGGCGCCAGCGGTGGGCACCGACAGCAGGGGACAGTGACAAGGACGGCGGCCCGGCTGCGGCTCCCTCAGGCGCGGGGGCCTGCTGGTCTCCAGCTCGGGCTGTTTTCGTGAACATGTTTGTGAGCTCACGAATGACTGAAGGCACATGACTCCATAGAAGGAGACGGCTAGGAGGGCCCAAAGTGGCCCAGAGGGACAGCCCGAGGGAGAGAGGCCCAGAGGGCGATGACTAGAAGGTCAGTCGGCCACCCAGACGCAGACAGTGCGCCGGAAGTGACCCGGCCCGGAGACCGACTGACATAGACGATGCAGAATTACCACCAGCCAGAGGCTCGGCTCTGGGTCCCCACCCCAAGCCCTGAGAGCGGCGTCTCCCAGAGCTGCTGTACACCGTGTTCGCAGAAGCAGTGTCCACAGCAGCGAGATACGGCAAACATGGAAATGGACAAGATGGCTCCTGCATGGTCAGCGCAATCCTACTGGGAACAGGAAGGACACTTTGCCGCACACTGCAACACTGAGGAAGCTCGCGGACCCGAAGTGGGGAAAAGGCCAGTCGCGGAAGGACAGTGGCCTGAGTCCACCTGTGTGCGGTACCTCGAGTCGCCAAATTCATAGACAGAAAATAGAATGAAGGTTAGCAGGGGTTGGGGGGCGGGGAACGGGGCGTTTAACGGACGGAGTTTCATTTGGGAGGATGAGAAAGCGCTGGAGATGGCGAGCGGTGATGGTTGCATAACCACCTGCAGGTGCTTAATACCTCAGAGCTGTATACTTTTGATACAATGGCGACTTTGATGTTATATATATTTTCCCGAAATAAAAATGAGAGCAAGACAGAGTGAGAGCGGGGGTGAGAAGAGCAGAGGGAGAGGTGAGACAGGAACAGATGGACGCCGTGGGAAGGACACGAGCCCAGGGAGGGTGCGGGCGAGGGCGGGCTCACCTGCTCCTTGGTGCGCCCCTCGCGCTCCCGGATGTGGGTGGTCACGATGCGTTCCATCTCCTCTCGCAGCCGCGGGTACTGCTGGAGCTGGGAAGGGCAGCAGGAAAGAGAGCCACGTACACAGCGGGCACAGGCAGGTAGCACCCAACCCACCAGAGCCCGGGGTCCAGGGGTGTGGGGCGGGAGGCACACACAGAATGCCTGAGACCGGGCAAGAGAGACTGGGGTCCCAGGAAACTGACGGCACCAAGCCAGGGTCACCCCTGCCCCCCGTTGTGGGTTCCAAATGGCACTTCAAGGGTGTTACTGGCTCCAGGCCCTCTGCACTGGCCTATCTGGGCAACTGAGGGGGGCAGTGTGCTGAGGGTAGTTCTTTCCCACGGGCGGAAGTGCCATGGGAGTCAGCCTGCGGCTGGCCGCCATCTTGGTGGCAGCCATCTTGGAAACACCGAAGGAGACCTTTGTCTGGGGGACCATTTGTTCCCAAAGCTTTCATAGGCCTCAGGTCTACCCCTTGGCCTTCTTGAAGGCTTAAAGAGATAGTCAGGCAGGGAACTAGGGAGGGAACAGCCTTGAGATTCTCTCCAGGAAGAATCTGGGGAGGGCAGGGCCCAAGGTGCCAGTGGCCTCCTGAGTCAGGCTGGGGATGGGCAATGCTCCTTGTCAGAGCTGGGGAGGGAGGCAGGGAGAACCAGCGGTCACACAAAGGACATGCAGGAGCCACAGCACGGGCATGCGAGGGTGGGGGGCATGCGGAGCGGGGGTGCCAGCAGCATGAGCAGTACCCTGCGGGGGCCTGGCTGGGCCCGGGGCCCTTTGGGTAGACTCCACCCAGTTTTGCCTCCCTTGGCATGCCCCAGCCTGGCCCTGTCAACGCCAGCCTCGCCAGCCGGCTCCGAGCTGACCAGCCAACCCGTCTCTACTCCACTGCTGTGGGGTAGTTCAGCAGCACCCATTACCCCCAGCTTTATTTAACTGAGGTTGAGGTGGATGTTGCTCCTTCTTTCCCCCTTCTGCCTGCAGACACTGCTCTCAGCTCAACCGGGCTCCAAAGTCCAGTTTGACTCATTCTGTAAGACTCTGTGGGGTGTCACCTCCTCCAAGAAGCCTGCTCCAACCACCCTAGAGCTGGCGTGCAGGCCTCCTGGGGCACCCTACCCTCTGTCCTCCATCTTCAAACTGGTGTGTGATTGCCCTGAAGGCAGAAAGGCAGGATGTGGCACCCTCAAGTGCTGACGAAGGCATGTTGAAGAAATGAGGATGAGTGACGGATGGAGTCTCGGCCCTCCTGCCCGGGTGAGCGGACACCCACTCCTGTCCCTCTGGCTCAGCCCACCCCCGGGGCCCTCGGATCCCCCGGGTCCGCACTCCTCACTTGGTGGCCACGCGGGGACCAGGTGGGCAGCCAGAACCACCCCCCGCCGCCCCCTCAGCAAAGGTCCCTGTGTGGGAAGAGAGCTGGAGGTGCGCATTCCTGGTTCACAGTTAGTGATTCTGAAGGCAAGATGGAGGCCAAGGAAAAGGGCGGGGGCAGAGGAGAATGGGGAAGAAAGCACTACCCTGGACACAGCCCAGGAGAGGCAGACGCGACATGCCACCTCCTCCCGACACCTCCATCCACCCACACCAGCCTCCGCTGTGCCGGGGCGTGGCTGTTGCCGCCAAGCTGGGACCTGGGGGCGGGCAGCCCGAGACCCGGCTTAAACTGGCTGGTTGGGGGGGCCCAGCAGCCGTGAGGCCCGAGGCGGGGCTCCCACTCCTCACCAGCTCCAAGTCTGGGTGGAAATTCCCGGGCTGAGTCACTGCCGCCAGAGCCCTCCCGGGTGGTCCCAAGCGCTCCCTCCCAGGGAAGGGCGGTGGGGGAGGGGAGGCAGCAAGGCGGGAGCAATTTGCCACAGCGCGCGACCACTTCTCCCACTGACCGCCTGCATGTCACACGGTCAAGTTTTCCACGTGTCACACATGACAGGGCAGCCTCAGCCCCTTTGAGAAGTTCTGTTCCCTTTGAGCATCTTTTTCCATTCTGGCGGCCTCTGGGCATTGCCAGGACTCGTAGCCAGTTTTTAAAATGGAAATTTTCTCTCTCAGTCCTTGGCTCGCTGGTTATGGTCCAGGGATGCAGGCCTGGAAGCCACATGACTCCGGGGTCAAAGCCAGCCTCTGTCCTGCCCACGCCCCTCAGAAAAGTGACTGACCTCTGGGCCTCAGGTGTGACATGCGGACAGCGAGGCCACAGGGCACCTCCCCTGGCAGAGTGCTGAGAGGACTGAGTGGTACCTTCGTGCTCAACACACCTCTAGATTTCTCCAGAGGTGAACACTCTCATCTGGGCAAAGCCCGTTATTAGAGTTGAATAATTACCAAAAGAGTCGTTGGCTAGGTTTAGAACATTTAGGGAGGAAGAAAAAGATGAAGACGAGTGAACTCTGTATTGTAAAGAAAAAAAAAATTCTATTAAATAAATCAAGGGAAGATTTTAAATATAAAAGTTCCCTTTTTGAAGTTTTGGTCGATTCAATTTGTTCTACTCTCAAAAATCAAATTCATTGTAAGGTAGTTGAACATGAATACTATCCCTTGTTCTTTCTTAAAACAGTGGTTAGCAAGGCCGTGGGGATTTTATCATTCATGTCTCACCCCTACATTACACATTCTTTTCAGGAAACTGTTCCCCCTCCACCCCACAATGCTCTGTAGAGGGGCATGTGACTATATATCTCCTGCCTTTTAACAACTAGAGTCTTCCACTGTCTGTGTGTGATACTTTATATAATCAATTCCCTCTGGGTCAATATCTGGATTGTTTCCAAAATTTTACCATTTATAGTAATTACTGCTTTTCCTTTGGAATGCAATTCAGCAAAGTGTTTCATGTCTTTGAAATATTTTATATCTAGTAACAAATCTTCTAGGAATCTATCCTGGGGAAATAATCCTAGAGAAAGAAAAAGAAAATCCTTTATATACAAAGATGTTCACTCTTTGGTTATTGACAACATTGGAAAATTGGAGGTAATTCAAATGTTTGCCAACAAGAAAGTGGTTAAGTAAACTGTGACAAATCCATTCAATAGAATAGTATGCAGCCATTAAAAATGTTTATGTAGGCTATGTCATAATACCTCCCCACATACAGTTATTAATAGAAAAAGCAGGATATTAGTATACCCACTGTAGTTATCTAACAAAGTAAATAAGCTTATGTGTAGAAAAGGAAAAAAAGATTTGGAGGAATAACTGGTGAAAACTGTTTGGAAAGCAATCTTGCAGAAGTCACTAAAAATGTGAATGCCCACAGCCCCTGCTGAGGCCAGGCCGTAGCTAGAGATGTGTCCTAGGGAAACGTCAGGAAAAGTACTACAAATATTGCTGTTAGGACGTTAACTATAGCACTGTTTGAAGAAAAAAAGGTTGAAACAACCAACATGCCCATCCTTAGGATACTGAATTATGCCCCTTTGCTATGATGGAGGGTCACCCGGCTCGAGGGCCTGACCCTTCCCGGAGCTCTCTGAAATGCCAGCCACACGGGACGTAAAAAGAGCAGCTCACAGCCCAGTATGGGTCATGCGAGCTCACTCAGGTCTAAAACGGTGTCATTTGTAAATACTTAGGAAGGTTCTTATCTCCAGGGTTGTGGGATTATAGGGACTTTTGCTTTCTGAATAGTTTTATGACAATCATGTGTGCTCAGAACAAAAGTAATACTGTTCATTTCGTTTTTTACAAAAAGAACAGCCCTTGCAGGGAGATCTCCATAGGGCCTCTCTGAAAGGGGAGATTTGGTGCCTCTGTTTTTTTTTACTCTGGTATTTTCTGAATTTTCTGGAATTGAGAATGGATTATTTTTAAAATGAGAAAACAACGTTATTTTTATTTAGTAGATCTTGTCTTCTTTTGTAAAGGAAACCGAGGCAGCTTAAAATAAACTCAGTGTTTCTAAAATGTTCACACAAGGATTACATTGCTCTGCACTCATGAAGGGGGGAGCCCCAGGGTGAACTCTAGGCAGTGGGGCCTCCACGCGCTATTCCCCCAGAACAGGCCCTGAGTGGACCCAGCTTTGCTTAACCCGTCCCCACTCGGCACACAAGTAGGCACAGGTGAGACAGGCAGGGGACAGGGACACCTTACGCCACAAAAACGACACGTGTCCAAAACACGAAGTGAAGCAGACGCGCCGCCCACCACCCCGGGAGCTTTTTCAGGTACGGTGCGGCTGGGCTCTCTCCTGAGAGTCTGATTCATTTGAATTCTGGGCACCTGACTCCTGGAAAGGTGCCCCCACCCCCCACCACCCCGCAATGGATTCTCATGCCCTCCCGGGGAAGGACTGTTTCAAGCGATGTGGCTAAACAGCCTCAAAATGCCCAAAGGTAGACAGAAAGGAAAAAGGCATCGGAAAGGTCGCAGATGACTCAAGAGAGGCTGCCCGAGTGAACATGGCTGGATTACTGCAGCGCGAGTAATCCACGTCCGCATCTAGGCAAGTTGGCTCTGAGGCACTGGGCTAGGCCCCCCCCAGGAGGCCCCGATTTCAGGCCCCGTCCCTTGGCCTCCCTCAAGCTGAGCCCCACTGCTCCGCTTTTGCTTGCTGATGCTCAGTTCACCACGTGTAAAGGGGGGTGGTGCTGCCCTCCTAGGGTTGCCGAGAGGGCAAAGTCAGCTAGCGGGGCAGGGTCCAAGGCTGGGCCCGCACCGGACCAGCCCCTGACACGCGCCACTGCCCTGGCCATTCCTAGCGCCCTAAAGGGGCCAACTGACGGCGCTTGGGCAGGGGCCTGTGGGGACGGTGAGCGCGAGCAGACCCGGGCGTATCCGCTGGCCGAAGCCTCAGGGTCGGGGGTCACCCGGCCAGCATGGGCGTCTGGGTCCACGTGGGTGACCAGCGGACGGCTCTGCCCACGGGAGGCCGTGGCCCAGAGGAAGGGTCAGCCCGCCCAGGCGGCCCTCGTACCTTTTCGCTACACTTTCTGATGGTGGTCGTGAGCTCACTGACTACCATATCCACACACTTGATACTGGGCTCTTTGAGCTTCTGCACCTGCTTTTTCACTGTGGCTTCAAAAGCGAGGTCAGGTGTGAAGAGGCCCGTCCTGCACCCGGGAGGAGGGAGGGACAGGAGGAGGAGAGGCCGCGGCGGGCAGGGAGGCAGGAGTGAAAGCCAAGCAGGGCCGGTTTAAGGGGTGGAGGAGGATGGCACAGGCATGGGGGAGAGAGACACCGACACAGAGAAAGAGAGAACAGAAGACAATGTGAGCGTGGGCCCGACCCTCCCTACGCCACCCGGGCCAGCGCCTCCGGGGCTCTGTGGGCAGGGCTGGGTGGTTCAAGGGGACCAAGCCCTGGGCCATGCAGCCCCTGCTGAGCTCAGCCCTCCCAGGCTTGCCTCCCACCCTCACTCTCCGGCTGGGCTGCCGGGCTGCTGGGCTGCTGCTTTTTTCAAAGCCATCTCTGTCACAGCCTCGGGCCCTCCTGAGGGCCGGACCCAGGCCAGGACCCCCCCCCCCATTCTGTCCAATTCCAGGTTTCCCAGCAGTCTGCACTCACTTGGTCCTGACTCCAAAGCCCAGGACCGTTCCCTGCCTCCATCAGGGGGGCTGCGTCCCATCGTCAGCAGCGCACTGCCAACTCAGGGGGCTCCATCTGCACAGGCTGTGGTGCATATGACGCCTCCTGGGGTGGCCGTGGGGCTGCCTGACCTCCACTCTCCAGGTCCCTGCTGACTCCTGCCCTTCCCTGTCTCCTCAGGGCAGCCTCTGCCTCTCTTCGAAAGGGGTCTGGAGGAATCAGCTCAGAAAGACAGGATGAGAGAGAAGAGGAAAGACAGAAAGAGTGGAGGTGGTGATAGAGAGGGGCCCAGGCAGCCACGGGGCGGGGGTGGAGGGG